CCCTACATCCAAGTTTTAGGCATCTTTCTCTAAGTGACCAGGGGCAGTGGCCTCCTGATAAGTTACAAGAACAGGAGCTGGGTCTGAAAACAGAAGAGTGATTTGCAAGCTGTGCAAGTCCAGTGTCGCTGGTCTGCAAGACAGGGGGCCTCCTGGTCACACTGGTGACACTAACCGGTCCTTTGGTGTTTCCTCCCCTTGTGAGAGGGACAGTGAGAGGAATTTGAAAGTGCATCAGGTCTTAAGGTGGACTGTGGAGGAATATACCTTAGTGTCTGACTGTACTGTAAAGCCTTGTAACTGGATCAGAAAAATGTACATATAAAATGCAAGAGCAAATTGTACCCCTCCTTATTATTACCCTAATTAAACTCTAGCCTGAAACTTAAAATCACCTCCACTATCTGGCTTTCATTTACCTGCATGTCCTGAGCTGTGGAGCATTTGTTGGCCCTTTATTTGCATGTGGAGCTCTACCTATTAGAGTTAAAAATACAAGTGAGAGCTTATGCCGCAATAACAGTCTTCAGCTAAGCCCTTGTAGACTTCACAGAGCTTCGAGCTACTAATTGTCCAAGTGATCTCATTAAAGAACTAAAGATAGCTGAGCGGGCTAAAATGCCACAATTTCAGGGGAAAGAATTCAAACCCAGTGAGGCCATGCAAACACTGATGAGCAAATGAGCCTCTGCTGATACTTGCTACGTAGACCCTTAGCTGTCCCCTTCTCCAACTAATTGCTTTGTCCCAGTATAGGAGTATTTAATTCCCTCATGTCAATAACTTCTGCAGCTCATTTCTTTTGAAGTGCTAAAGGGCTTCTGGCAAGCACCACTATTTTTAGCCTTTATTTTTATTTAAAAATCATAGTATCATCAAGGTTGGAAGAGACCTTTGAGATTATCAAGTCCAACCATCCACCCAGCACTACCACTGTAACCAGTAAATCATATCATCCAGCACCAGATCCAGACATCTCTCAAACACCTCTAGGGATGGTGACTCCACCACCTCCCTGGGCAACCTATTCCAGTGCCTGACCATTCTAACAGGGAAAAAAATATTCCTAATATCTAATCTGAATCTCCCCTGTCTCAGTTTATGGCCATTAAAAAAATTTTTACTTGTTATTGGATTAGCCCATTTCTGAAGTGGAGATTATCAAATGGATCACACAGTATTGTCTTTTACTTTTTTCAAAATTAATATTAGCCAGAATAAATTTAATGGCCTTTTAGGCCAAACTGGGGAAACTCAAAGCTACATCTCTCCTTACAGTTCCAGCTCTGTACCTGCAGGTTGTTACTTGCTTTTCTGATACTTTTTTTAATTCCTAAAAGAATGGGTGTCTCCTAAAACCTTGATGTTCACCCCTTTCTTTTTCAGACAGCTCTCTTACCTTCCCAAACACCTGCGACATCATTTTCTGTGCTCTTCGGAACTCTGTGCCTGTCAGTTGTAATCCTCTCTAATCCATCCTCTAGTGAGCGCAGAACTGATTTGCCAAACTTCTATTTGCAGTTATAATCTTTGAGGCTTTCAGTCATCTTCTCCTGCAGTGACGATTTCAAGTTTCCTCTCTTCTTTCACCTTTGTGATTATTAGGGCCTCATCTTTCCAGGCACTTTCCAACCTTGTCATTCCTTTCTTATTAATACAAAAATCTCATAAATCATGTGTCAGGCCTTTAGTTACCATGCCCCTTTTTTTTTTATTATTATTCATTCGTTATGCTGCTGCCTTGCCCATTATTTGATCTCCTTATCTGCACATTTTTAAACATTAGTAAGAACTCGATGCTCAGAGTTCTCTGCAGGTGCCACCTGTGCGTGCCCAGAGCGCGCCCTGCTGGTGGAGTCTTGGAAACTCAGCCCTGAAACTCCTGTGACAGGTGAGGAGGTAAACCCGACGCGATGGTGTCTCTCTGGGCTCCACACTTAGTGTCTGCCGCGTTTCGTAGCAGAGGTGGTAGCAGTGATAACTTGATGCAAGTATCAGCTGTTGGGTCATATCTGTTTACGTCTAGGTTCATGGAAAATCTGCAGACAGAAGTCCAAGAAATGGAATTCATCAAGTTCTCAAAGGGTTTGAGCGTCATGAGGAAAGAGGACTTTGCGGCGTGGTTGCTGTACTTCACCGACGAGGAAAACAATGAAATTTACTGGCAGAATGTGAATGACAGGATCGAGGCAGGAGAGGTTGGTACTCAAAGCATGTTTTGCTTTGCTTCCTCCTTTGTATGTACAGGTTTTCATTTGAATGTGAGTATCTAATAATGTAACTAGTTTCCAAATGCAGCCCTTGAATTTTATGCAGGTAAGAGCAATGATTATTTACATACTGAGCAATACGAATGCTGACAATGTGTAGGTAATCACACCTAAACACTAAGTCCCACCAGATTTAATGAAAGAAATTATTGGGGTTTGAATGTGTTATTCATTCTGTGTCATCTGAATTCTCTGATGCCCTAGAACATCACTTTGGAGGAATTCAAGACTTTTTGCAAGTTTACAAATAACCTGGAAGACTTTTCTATTGTCATGCAGATGTTTACTGTAGCCAATCGTCCTATTAAACGGGGTAAGTGCTGTACACCTTTCATATGGGGGGTTTTAAAAGAGAAAAAAATGCATTTTTGTTTTGGAGTTAATTAATGTAAATGAGTTATCCCAAAGTACCACTGTGAAGTCCAAAAATAGTATGCTGCTCTTTATTCAGAATTGATTCTATTTCATGAAAAAATAATAATACAAAGTCCCCCAAATGGTTTCATTTGCAAGTCCTAACATGCTATCATATGTGGACTGCTCACAACAGAATAAACCATAATCATGGAATGGGTTGGGTTGGAAGGGACCTTTAAACAACATGCATCCAAACCCTCTGCCATAGGCAGGAAAATCTGTCACTGGACCAGGTCACTCAAAGCCTCACCCACCCAGACCTTGAACACTTCCAATGATGGGACATCCACAGCTTCTCTGGGCATCCTGTTCCAGTGCCTCACCACCCTTATTGTAAAGTTTCTTTCTTATGTCTAGTCTAAACCTACCCTCTCTCAGTTTGTAACCGTTTTGCCTTGTCCTGTCATTATAGTCCTTGGTAAAAGTCTCTCTCCATCTTTCTTATAAGCCTCCTTTATATATTGAAAGGCTACTGTAAGACCCTCTCAGAGGCATCTCTTCTCCAGGCTGGACAACTCCAGCTCTCTTGGCCTTCCTTCACTGAAGAGGTGTTCCAGCCCTCTGGTAATTTTTGTGACCCTCCTCTAGACTCACTCCAGCCTGTGCTGAGGACCCCAGAGCTGGATGCAGCACTTCAAGTGGGGTCTCACAAGAACAGGACAGAGGGGCAGAATCACATCCCTCAACCTTCTGGCCACAATGTTTTTGATGCAGCCCAGGATTTGGTTGGCTTTCTTTGCTGGCTCATACCCCGTTTTTAATCCATCAATATCCCCAAGTGCTCCACAGGACTGTTCTCAGTCCAAACTAATTCTAGAAGAGGAAGGATTTACTGAAACAATACATGCTTTGGTAGCAGTTCATGATAACAGAGCTTTGTCCTCCTAGCAAAACTAGTTTTCTGCCCATATTGCCTTCTTGTGTGCTTATGTGGTGTCATGCAATTACGTCTATCAAAAATGATGTAGTTAAGTGGGTTTTAAAGATCTGGAGGAGGGGAGTTGCTTCCTTCCCATATAGTAGAAATAGAAGCAATGCAGCAAAAATTTTGTGGATGTATAAATGCTTTTTGTTATAATCCCGATGTTGTTATCTATGTGTTATACTTGAAGGACAATTCTTATAAGTTATTTGAAAATAGCAATGTAAAAAGTTCCTAAGGAAATTTGATGAGACATTAACATTCATCAAAATTAATATTTGATGGGCTTATGTGAAAAAAGGTGAGAGAGGTTCTAGAAGACAGGAAGAGAATTACATATTCTTGAGAGAGAGGTGTTTGGATGGGACTTGAACCAAAGAAGTCCAAAACTGGGGGATCTTTAACTTGTGGCTTTCATCACTAGTTAGCCCAGTGTTCAGGAAGAGTTTCATTTCCATGGCCTCTCCAGGCAGCTGTTGTAGTGCTTAACCACTCTCATCATGGAGACTTTCCTCTTCTCTGTCAAACCATTGCTGCAGCTTTCAATGATTGTGTCTTACCTCCATGTACCTATGAGAAAAATGTGGTACTGTCTACTCTATAACCCATTTTAGGCAGTTGAAGGCTGGAGAAAGATCCCTCGTTACGCTTCTGCTCTCCCCAGCTCCCTCAGCTTCTCTTCTTCCATCATGTGCTGCAGTGCCCAGATGAGTTCATGTCCCTTCTCTGCCTGGTTTAACAACATTTTTCTTCTCTTGGGGGTGACAGATTTTATTTGCATGAGGCATACAAAGAGCAGAAAGAGGATGAATTAATGGTGAAATAATAGTCAATAGTGAGATACGAGAGTTTAGCTCACTTCTCTGTTAAGTATCCCATTTTCAAGTGCCAAAGGATAATGAGGCAACAGCTGGTCTGTAGTAATGTTTCCCTGTGAAAATTCATTCCTAACTAACAGGCAGTTGTGACTCTGTTTGTGCACTGAGCCACACTGTGAGCGAGAGCAGTCAACTACTGAGGTAACTCATGGATGTTACATGTCTACACCTCTAATCCTTTCCTGAATCTCACAAGGTTCTTTGTCTTGCTGTTTGCATGTGCTTACTTGTGTGTATTCACTCACATGGAAATATTTACCTAAAAATAAGACAGTCTTTTAGTCCTTCCTTTTATTCTAGGCTCCTTTTGCTTCTAAGCTCACAGTTCATCTTTTCTCTCTGATTAGATGGCCCTTCTTGGTTTGAAGATTATTATGCTCCATCACTGTAGAACATCTTTCTCCTTCTTTTCATGCTGTGTTTGAAAGAAGTACAGTGTCTGGGCTGGATTTATATTTAACTTCAAGAGATGAAACAGTTAATGTCTTTTTAAAGGCTAACTTAAGACTCTACTATAAGCTTGCCACATGCTATGTCCTTTTCAAATTGTGGCATATCCTTTTATGAAAGGATTTTCAACTTAATTTTATTTAAACCAACTGTAAATTAATCAACTGCATTTTTACAGAAATTGTTGCAAGAGCCAAAGATGAGAGCTAGGTCAGGAATGCTATTCCCTCTAGTAAGCTGCAGAACTAATCATATTTGCAGCATGATTTATAAACAGCATTTGTTTATGAAAGCAGAACCACGTTAAATCTACATTTATGACTTCATTGGACAAATTGCTGTAATAATCTACAATACTGCCATACTTTAATAGCCTCCAGTCCCTTCTTGAAATTCACACTTCCGTGGTGCCTTCAAAAATGCATCCAATTCATGTGTTGTGATTGTGCTTGCTATAATAAACAGTAATGATTTCACTCTTAATGTTCTGCTGTTCTATGGCAACCCCACACATTCCCTCACCTTCTTTGAGTCAAAACTCCAAATTCTGTACACCACAAGACCAAAAGTGAGGACAGTAGGCATTTCTGTAGTGCACACACTAGTGTAAAGAATGAAGGCAAAAGAGCTGAAGAGGAAAGTAGATCTCCAGAGAGGTATGACAGCTTTTTCTGCCACAAATCCTCATAAACTCGTCAACCATCATTTAAGAGAAGGTAACCTACTTCTTTAAAAACCAGGACTACAGGTATATAAAGCCACGTGCTGGAAGCAGAGCACTGGCACTTTGATGGTCCATGTTTCTGCAGAGTTGCTGAGGAGGTTGGTGGTTGAGGTGGAGCATGTCATAAAATACTGTTCTCTGAGGAGGTTTCTTGCAGGATGAATTGGCATGAAACTGGTTTGAGATAAAGTGGTAGGGTTTTTAGGAGAGCACAGTGAGGCAAACACTTATCATCCCTGGGCACAGTAACAGCCAAAAGTATGTTTTCAGCTATTTCTAGCAAAATTGCCACTCTTACTGCTGCTTGAGAAGTAGTGCTTTTCAAAGGTCTATCATAAAATTAATGAAGACAGTGTTAAGAAGATGACGCAAGCTCAAGAACACATGACCTGAGGCCTCCTAATAGTTTACTAGTTCACACATCCCAAGGTCTCCAGTTAGGATACCCATGAGACATTGCAAATTGTACAGAATCCTGCTATTTATGTGCCTTCCATTTTCTTTACAAGGTCACAGTCACCTATGATGTAATATTATGTCTTTACTAGCTGAGTTCAAGAGAGCGGTGAAGGTGGCGACAGGACAAGAGCTCTCAGATAATGTTTTGGATACCGTCTTCAAGATTTTTGATCTCGATGGAGATGACTGCCTCAGCCACAGCGAGTTTCTGGGAGTCCTGAGGAACCGAATGCATCGAGGTTTGAGGGTAACATGCCAACATAATTGTTTTTCAGTACACAGACGATTGCTACAACTATCTTGCAAAGACTTGTAGAAACACAAGTAGAGTTAGTGAATAGAAATGTATTTTAAACTGGATATTCCGTACTGCATGTGAATCTGGGAGGAGTGGTGCCACCAAGAACTTGTTACTACACGTGAACTATGGAAGCGGCAGCACAGCTTTACGTATTGTACTCTCACAGTCTGGGGTAGAAGTCTTTTCTGTGTAAATGCTAAGCACACTCTAACTTTATTAACAGGTACCACATCAGCAAGGTGTGCAAGGCTACTGGAAGTGTGTGAAGAGAGAAAGCATTAAAGGAGCCAAAGAATTGTGGAAGCAAACTGGGAGAAGTCCATTTTAAAGCACTCCATCGTTCTTTTGCTATACATGTTGTTATTTAGGGGAGTTTGTCTGTCCTGTTTACATAAAAGCTGAATCAAAATTGCTCTTTTTTTAAACTATAGTCAAACTTTAATTCACCCAGACTCAAATGCAATAATTGTATCATCGTTACAGTGCAATCAGTTTGGTTTACAGAACTGTTATCACTTTTGACCTCCATATGGAAGTCCTCTTGTTCTAGGGAATAGTGTTGTTTACTGCTCTGTGGAGTCTGACCCTGCGCTGTAGGATACAGGATACGCAGGATTTAATGGTGGCCCCAGGCAGGAACATCACAGCAGTATCATCTCCTCTTGAAAGGGTGGACATCATCTCAGTTAGACACTAACACAGCAGTTCTCCTTCTCTGGCATGGGCAGAGGCCCAAAAGGCAAAATCACTTCCACAATACTTTTCAAATCATGTTATCCTGAATCACAAAGGAAAATTCAGATGATTCATTCCCTTGTTACCATGATCTGCTTGTGTGCTGGTTCCTAGTGGCTGATTCCACCAGATCCTGTGTGGATGTCTGGTTTTTCTACCTTCATGATGTTAACATAAAACTGGAAATACAAGACTGTTGATGCAGGCTTTAAAAGTTGTACACTGATGAATGAATGTGCAGTGAATCTCTCAGACCTCTTCAAAAATAGTATAAATGAGAAGCAGAAATCCTCTTTCTGTCATAAACAGCAGTAGCTACAATTTGAGTCATAACTATTTTGCTTTAATTGTATTGCAAAGGATGAATGTATGACAATTAGTTCCTCTATCTTACCAAAGGTTGTGACAAAGAATGCTGCAATGTCTCAGGAATTCAAGGTTATAATAAGCAAGTGTTGGGAGAATAAGTCTAATGAAAAAGTAAATACAAATGTTTATTACTCCAAATGCAAAGTTTGACCTAAGATCTTAAACAGAAAACCAAGGAACAAATCAAAAATAACATTTAGCAATTACAGGTGAACATTATTTTTAGTTGTAATGTAATGTGCATCTCTGTGTACACAGGTGTGTATCTTTCTTACAGCCTCAGGAGCCAATAGTCCCAGGTCCAGATCAGTCTTCCTGTTTGGCTGCTGTATACAGGAGATAGACTTATCTGTGAAACTGTCAATGCTCTTCCTCTTTCTCCCTCTGAGTTTTCTCACTTGTCTTGGCTGGGGTGAAAGCTTAACCTTTCGAGACAGGTTTGTGATAACAGACTCAAAAGATGAACTAGGGAAGTGTCTGAAGAAAAACAACCAAGAAATCTCGTCACTCAGTGAGGAAGTTTCCATCTCTTTTTCACATGACACCAGCTATATAGTTATCAAATTGTAAAGAAGTTGAGCAGGAGGTGTTTTGTTGTCGTTTCTTTGGGTTTTGGGGTGAGTCTTGAGACATCAGAGCAGCCCTCACTTGGAGGAGGGACGGGAGAGAATGTATTGGGAAACCATAAGATCCCACCTAAGGAACGCTGAGATTACAGAGAATGTGTTTGGTGTGTTGGTAGCTGTCAGGCAGCTTTGTGCTGAGGAGAAGTCCTGTTGCCCAAACCTCAGCACAGTGGTCTCTCCTAGAGAACAGCGTGAGAAGCCAAGCAGAGCAGCTCTTGTTCCCTCCACAGCCTCAGCTTAGACCTTTAATTCAAACTGTGTTAGAGAGAAAATGCTTATATTCCTGTCATCTGTGGACAGGCACCCAGAACAAGAGCACGCCCACGGGGGCATCCTGAGACTGTCCAGACCAGGCACCAGTGACCACCAAGGATCCCTTTTGGCCCCAGGAAACAATCCACATGAAATAAACAATTTAGAAACAATCTCCATGCAGTAAAGTCTCAGTCTTCTCCCTCAAACTGAACTCACGCAGTGCTCTGTGGGCAGCAAGGTATCCGATGGCTGCTTTACTTTGTGTGTTTGGAAGTTGCTCCCTCTGGTGATGGGAGCTGTGACTAAGAGGTACCTACAGGGAGCAAAGGTGGGGCTGGCCCCGCAGTACCACGGCCCCCTAGCCGTGAGTCACCGAGTAATCATACAAACGACGTACTTGGGAAAGAACTTCTGTGTCACAGAACTGTGTGTTCACCCAAAGTGTGCCCTGTGCCTGCTCTGGCTTTAATGCAAGGCTGCCTTTTATTTGTTGCTGTTAATATTTTGGCAAATCATTTTTACTTTGGAATGGAGGCTATTCTTTAACGTTTTATTCTGTGTAAAGTTGATGGTTTTATGATGGTTTTTATTGCTTTTGTGGTTTCTTTTGTTTGCTAATTATTTGCTTCTTACAGGGTGTTTGGTTTTCTTTTGGAAAAATCAACTCATTTAGCTTTAATGTATCTAGAAGTTTAATTCCTCAGAGCTCATTTGTATCTGGGTTTGTGCAATCAGCAGTATCTGCTTTCAGCAGTTACTAAAAATGGGATTTCAAGTTTTGATGTTTTAGCAAAAGCTTTGGTGTCAAATTCAGAGGAAAAAGGAAAGAGATGTGCTTATTTATAAAGTTAATTTTGTATCTGTAATTTTTAAAAAAAGATACTAAAAGATGAATTAGGAATTAAAATAGAGTTAGGAATCATTTTCAGATGTGATCCTGAAAGTATAACCAGGAAGGAACTCTTTTGAAGGCCAGGGATGACTTGTCCATCAGGCTTGAAGAATCAGACTGTGTTTAATTTGTCATTTATTATTATTATTTGTCTTAACTAAAAGGATTTACAAAACAGTCTTAAAATAATTTCTCATTTTTAATATCTTTGACCGAAAGAGCTGTTTATGCAAGTGTTTAGATGGATGCTGTCTTTGAAAGAATTCTTCACAGTTTTGTGTTAGCATTACTCAGTACAATTTAGGTGAAAGTTTATGCCAGCTGCCACTCTGAATATATCAGTTATGACTTTTGTAACATCAGAAACTCTTCCTCTGAACAGAATTATATCAAAAAGCTAAATAAATTTTTTTTAAAATCTATCACATCAGGTCTGAATGTTGTGTAGAATAAAGACGAATACTTTGCACGTCGCTTCAGTCTCAAGCACTGATCTAACATATTTCGGAAGGACACGCAAGGGTGAGCACAGTCATTTACAGAGTTTGAGTTGTTGTATCCCCATAACAACACTTTTCACGTTTCTTTCAGTTTGTTTAGTTTAAGCTAATTGTTTAAGAACCATTTATTCTTCATTTCTGAAAGAAGCAAAGGCAAAACTGCAGTGCGATATGCTAGAACTAACAGAGGCTCATTGGTTGTTTCTAAAAATTAATTCTGGTTTCTCAGTTTGTACAAGCCTCTTTCCAAATGCAAAACTTCCTCTGGACTCAAACCAAGTTGACAGGTTTTAATAAAATACACAACAATGAGGAGTACATAGTCTGCATGGAAGAACTGTAACGTTTTATCACAATGCTATATGCTGCATCAACAGGAAATCCCTGAATTACTCCGTCTCCTCCAGTGTATTGTCTCATTCCTGGGCTGCCATTGATCATGCCTGGAAATTTGCCAGATCTGAACTCAGGTATTGTCAGGATGTCTTAGCTTGTCTGTTGAGCCAAGTATTAACCAAAGGGTGAACAACAGTTCATTCCTAGTTTCAGGCTTTCAGTGGAGAATATGTAAGGTCTTTATCATTTTAGGGTTTGTGTTTGGACTTCAAGGGATCTCAGAGCTTGTGGAATTTTGGCTCTGAAGAGTTACAGATTACACTTCAGTTACCTAGAAAGCAGAGGCAAACCAATTGGATAAACAAGCCAGGCCATGGATTATGGTTTCATGGCACTTCACCTGTCCAGTGCATATAACAAAAAAGATCACTGCCTAATATAGGGCTAGAATGGGAACAGCTCTGTTACTTTGAGAAAGTGTTTTGAAATTCAGGTATATTGACCATACTTCGACTTATACATAGAAATGGATCAATCAGAATCTAAAAATTCTCACAGAGGGTGCAAACATGTCTCATGTCTTCAGTTTTGATGTTTCCTGAAAAACAGTCACAGCTTGGTCAGGAAACCATGCAGAAAAAAATCTTCAGTCGTTCTGAACAGAAAATGCATGTGAAAATGATGTTGTGGTCGTTATTAGGTAGATCCAAACTGACCAAACGACAGCTCCTGTAATGCAGCTGGTCACAAGGGAAGCACAAACATGACTAACACACTGTTAGTGCCCTGCTGGCCACAGAAACTCCTCCTACACAAACTAAAGGTGTCACCCAACAAGAAGCAGCAAACCCTTTGCAGGACAGGAAACCTGAGAGGCTTAAGCATACACAAAATTAATCAGCAAACAAGTGTGTCTCTTCACTCTCCTGCTATTTGAAGGTTTCCTGTTGGCTTTGTTGATTAAGCAATTCCTAGTTGGTTCAATAATAAAAAAAAATTATGCAACATATGTGGAGACAGATTTCCCTTTAGGCTGGTGTTGGCTTAGTTAATAATGTTTTCGGTTCATTAGCTGGAGTGCCCCAGCACAGATCTCTGCTTGCTGTCCTCGGGAGCCAGGCTGCTGCCCTGCTCAACAGTGCGCCCACCTGCATCATGTAGATGTGGCAACTGGGGATATGGTTTCATGGTGGACTTGGCAGTGCTGGGTAAACAATTAGATTCAATGATCTTAGAGGTCTTTTCCAACCTAAGCAATTCTATGATTCTCTTCTCCTTCTGGCTGAGTTTTAAAACTGTTACAAATTTGGACCTAAAGGAAGTACATTCTGAAATCAAAACCATCCAACAAGCAATTTCCTGGAGACAAGATGTACTACAGAGGTGGTGTACTGCAACACTGTATGCCTCAGGTCCACTGCTTTAGGGGAAAATCACCAGTTTTAATATTACCCCATGGAGCACCTGGTAGCTCTAAATCACCCTCAAGAGAACCAATAATTTTAATTTAGGACTTGCCAATAAACTGTTTTAAAATTACCTTCTTTTTCAGGATACAGATTTTTTTAACTATGTGCCATCTTACTGTGTTTTTATCTACTTTGATATTGATACT